GCACCAGGCCCTGACATGATCCACACCTACTGGCTGAAGAAAATAACTGCACTGGATGAACGCCTGGCAGCACAAATGAACCAACTGCTGATGGATGGGACCCACCCAGAATGGTTAACCCAAGGATGGACAGTCCTGATCATGAAGGATCCCCAGAAGGGAACAATCCCATCCAACTACCAGCCAATAACCTGCCTCTGCACAACATGGAAGTTCCTGTCAGGCAACATAGCGGCTAAGATGAGTAGGCACATGGCTCAATACATGGACATGGCCCAGAAGGGAATGGGCAGTAATACCAGTGGAGCCAAGCACCAGCTACTTGTTGATAGAGCAGTCACTCGAGACTGCAAGACCAGGCAGACCAATCTGTGCACCGCCTGGATTGACTACAAGAAAGCCTATGACTCAATGCTACATACATGGATACTGGAATGCTTGGAAATGTACAAGATCAAAAGGACACTAATAACCTTCAAGAACTCAATAGGGCTGTGGAAAACAAGTCTGGAAGCCAACTCAAAGCCAATTGCACAAGTCACCATCAAGTGCGGCACATACCAAGGCGATGCACTATCCCCGCTGCTGTTCTTCATAGGCCTGAACCCCCTCAGCCAGATCATCACAAAGACTGGCTACGGATACCAGTTCCAAAGTGGAACAACCATCAGTCACCACCTCTACATAGAGGACATCAAGCTGTATGCCAGAAATGAGCGAGACATCGACTCACTGACCCATGCTACCAGGATCTACAGCAACGACATTGGAATGTCGTTCGGACTGGACAAGTGTGGTCACATGGTATCAAACAGGGGGTTGAACTACCAGAAGGCCACATTACAGATGTTCCGGACAGCTAAAAATACCTTGGGGTGCCGCAGGCTAATGGAAACCATGAAGAGGCAGCAAGGAAGTCCGCCACAGCCAAATACCTACAGAGAGTAAGGCAGGTCCTGAAAAGTCAGCTGAATGGGAAGAACAAGATCCGAGCCATCAACACAGTCATCAGAAAGCCCGCTGGTATAATAAACTGGCCAAAGGAGGAGATAGAAGCCACTGACATCAAGACAAGAAAACTCCTCACAATGCATGTAGTTTCATCCCAAATCCAGCACGCTGAGACTGTACACCAAGCGTAGTGAGGGAGGCCAAGGGCTAGTGAGTGTCAAGACCACTGTCCAGGATGAAACAACAAAGATCCAGGAGTACATCAGGAAGATGGCCCCCACAGATGAAGGGCTTAGTGAATACCTCAGGCAGCAGAAACCAGAGGGTGAGGACAAGGAAGACAAAGAACATTCATGGAGAGACAAGCCGCTGCACGGCATGTACCACAGACAAATAGAAGAAGTGGCTGATATCAAGAAATCCTACCAGTGGCTGGAAAAGGCTGGACTAAATGACAGAAGCTGGAAGTCCCAAGGTCAAAATGGAAGACACCTCCTAAGGTAGTTGAGAATGACAGAGCTAAGATCCTGTGGGACTTCAAGATCCAGACTGACAACCTGGTGATGGCTAAACCAACCAGACATCGTGTTGATCGAGAAACGGCAAAAGAAGGCTGCAGTGATAGATGTGGCAATCCCAAGCGACAGCAACATCAAGAAGGAACACGAGAAGCTTGAGAAATACCAAGGGCTGAAAGAGGAGCTAGAAAAGATGTGGAAAGTAAGAGCAACAGTGGTGCCAGTGGTAATCGGAGCACTGGGGGCTGTGACCCCCAAACTGAGAGAATGGTGACAGCAGATTCCAAGTAAAACATCAGAGGTCTCTGTCCAGAAGAATGCAGTCCTAGGAACAGCTAAGATACTGCGCAGAACCCTCAAACTCCCAGGCCTCTGGTAGAGGACCCAAGCTTGAGGATGACACGTACCACCCCGCAAGGGTGAGAGGGGGATTTTATATATATGTGTGTGTGTGAGAAGAGTCCTGGGCCTGATAACATTCCTGGCTGTGTACTAAAAACCTGTGCCAATCAGTTAGTTGATGTAATCTGTAATCTCTTCACGCTGTACACCCACGACTACATCCCTGACATACACTCCTGTCTACATCAGTGGAGCTGAGGTGGAGCAGGTGAACAGTTTCAGGTTCCTGGGAATCAGCATCACAGAAAACCTGACATGTCATCTCACATCTCCACGCTGGTGAAGAAAGCTCAGAAACGACTATGTCTTGAGGAAGCTTAAGAAGGCCAAATTCAAGTTCTTGTCAGCTTTTACAGCGGAGCAATAGAAAGCATCCTGACTGAAAACATCACAAACTGCTCAGAAGATCATTGGTACCCATCTCCTGACCATCAGTGATATCAGTGAGGTGCTTGCGTTGAGCCCAAATTATACTAAAGGACAGTACCCACCCCAGCTGCAGCCTGTTCACCCTGCTGCCTTCTGGGAAGAGATATAGAGGGGGACCACCAGACTGCAGAGCAGCTTTTCCCCCAAGCTATCAGACTTTAAAGCTCAAATTCATCCTCAGCACTGCTCCATTGATTATCGTTAACATCTTGTTCTGGGTTAGTATTGCTTAAACTTTTGTCCTGTTGTAGTAAATAAAACTGTCTGAAAACCTGATTTTTAATATTGATGATCAATAAATTACCCTTCCAGTCTCTTTATTATGTGTGAGGAACCTATGGCAACATTTAATTAGCTGCTTGGTGATTTGGACACCTCACCACTTGCCTCGGTTACACATGCATCTGTGTCTTATCTATGTAACTCATTATCTCATGTCTCTCCCTCCACCCAGTGTAAATCTCCCCAGGGAGGCACGCCTCTATTTCAAAACCTCTGTTCTAAACAGTTACTTGGTTTGTTGTATTACGGCACAATGCAACAGCGCTACAAATCCAAATTTCTTAAACTTAAAATGCAGCGTCTTGTTTTAAACCTTTTATGACCTGCTTGACTTGGCTTCTCCAATTTGTTGTTGTACCATACCACTTTTTAAAAAAGCAGCTAACACCAATCTGGCCCCTATAGCTTAAATGGGTCAGAACCACTGCCCTTAAATGCTATTAAAGCTAAAAGTCAGCAATTCAACTCAAGTTACCGGTCCATTTTAAATCCTATGTGTCAAAGACACACTAACAACAGAAGGAATAGCGTCATGTACAATGCATTTTTACACATAGACATACATAGGGAAGAGACCTCCCACTGCTCTCACCCTCACACCCCATAAAAGGAAAAAAGGGGAACAATTTTTGTAGTTTTCCCTGCTGTGCCTTCTGTTGCCCCTACAGTTAATGTCTTATTGAACTGAACTTCAGGACAGCAGACTGAGATCAGCCGCAAAATCAGGTAAGATTCTGATAACTAAATACTTAAAAAAATAAAATAAAAAAAAAATAGAATATCTAATATGTGGCTCACTACATCTGAACATTTTGTTTGAGACTGATGACTGATGTACTGTACTGCTTGGCAATTTTGAACATTTTGGTTTAATTAAAGGCCCTTCCACAGGGTACTGTGGGGCACGTTAATGCGTTATTATCGTGTTAACGCATTACTTAACGCTTAACTTATTTTATTTCACGTTAACGCGGTTTTTATTATTATTTTCAAAGTCCGTTTGTCACTGGCTCTGAATACACGTACAGTCAAACCATGGGTCACAGAAGGGGTGGGATCTTGGTCAGCCTGCAAATCACCCACTCAAACAAGCAGTGGAGGGAGGCTTCAGCAGACTACTTGGATGCAGCGTGTGGAAGAAATAGATAAACAAAAGCAAGACAAGACAACAATTAAATGCCATAGCGAAGTGGATAGCTGCACACTGCATGATGATTAGTATTGGGGAAGATGTCAACGTTCTTAAAATCCCAACATAGTCACTTGGCCCCGCGGGGCTGCTCTTTCCTCAGGTGAACAGAAAGGGAGACAAGCGCTCCACGAGTAAACGGCAGGGGCTCTGTGGAGAGTAACCATGGCAATGGCTTCTGTGCGCTACACAGCTGTAGCCTATTTAACTTAATTTAAAATGATAGGCTACTTAACTTTACCTGATAGGCCTTCATCTAGTTTTGTGGGGATGCTCTGCCATGTGAATTCCCTCCTGTTAATATACTGATAACTATTCAGTAAACTGTAATAGATTCAGGAAACTCAACAAACAGTGAGGATCAGTCTCTCTTTTAATTATTTGTGCTGAGCGTAGTGTACAAAAAGTTCAAGACAATTCAATTTCGGCAGCGGATGGGCATGTGGGTGAGGCGAGCACAATTGCGACAGTTTCACGGGAACGCACCCGCTTGTCGGTGCACCTTGCTTGACCACTTTACCTCACTCTAACAGGGAAACCTGCTACTGAACATAGGCCCTAGACTGTTTATGCTGCTCTCTGATAAAAGAAAAATGTTTCTGCTGATACCTATTCAGAAAAAAAGAAAACTGGACTCTAATTGTAACTTGCTTTAACAAGCTAGATAAAAAGTAATGCCCTGGCAGTGGCAAATAGCTTTAGTTTAATATTTGATTTGATTACATTAATGTTTAATTTGAGATTTAAAAGAAATACATTTATTGCTACTGTGTAAAGGGTAAAGGGAATACTGCTGGTAAAAAGCACATTATTTGTTTAAAGTGTTTGGAAACCACGTTATTGCATTTGTGTATATATCAGTAAAATTAAAAGTGAGCAATACACTACTTTATAATTCATAATAAATTATGCGCATAGGAATGTGATTAATCGCAAGAAAATCAAGTGGTAAACTGCGATTAAAATTTATCAATGCCCAGCACTAACTGTATCATAACGGTTTGTCAACCTAGATTCATTCATTTAGTTTTGTCTTAATCTCTGTCATTGAATAGCATGAAAGGATGGGAAAAGAGTGAGCTGTTCACGTCATCAAATATATTGTATATGATCTCACATTAATTTGTCATATAATACACTTTCAAGTTGTTTAACCTGTGCAATTATATTAATTATTCTATATAATTGTTTTCCCACTTTTATTTCATTTTGTTTAAACACCACAGTATTACACCAGGAAAAACCTCAGAAATATGCACAAAGATAGAAAAATGATGATATTCTGTCTGCTCTTGGCAGGTAATATGGTTACATCACCTCTTTAACTTCCAATCACATATCTAAATACACTTAAAAAATCAAAGACACCACTTAGAAGTGACGTCTTTCTTCTGTCACTTCCCGTTGTCTATTTCAGCTATTAGCAGCCCTGTGTTTAGTGAAGAATGGAAGGCCACTGTTGTAAAACAACTTGAGGTCCTGGTTTCATCCTGTGTTGTGGTACCCTGTTCATTCACCCATCCTAAAGAGAACCTGCCAGCCTCCAAACTCAGAAAGATCTGGCATTCTTCAAAAGGGCGAGATCAACGCATCTATCATGAAGATTCCACAGAAATCTCGGAAAACTTCAGGGGGCGCACAAGGTTGCTGGAGGAAAAGAGTGCTAGCAACTGCACTTTAGAAATAACTGAAATTAAAGACCATGACAATGGCCCTTTCTGTTTCCGGATTGAACTAGCACGGACACCGGGTGATACATCCACCATCGACAAGTTCTCCTTTGTTGAAGATTGTGTTGAGTTCACAATGCTCAGTATGTCACCAACCTTTTAAGATCATATAAACACAGATTTTCTGTTATAGCGATTTACCTCTTACTTTATCTTTGCCTTTTTCATTTGTAGATGAACCTCCAAAACCTACACTGATTCACCCAAAGACAGCCATTCAAGATCGTCCCTACACTGTCATGTGTTCAGTAATCCATACCTGCCCCTCCAATGTGCCTAAACTCACATGGAGTAGGGCAACCACAGACACTGATGTCATTGAGGTCCACAGACAAATTTATGTTGGCTACTGGGAGACACTATCCATCCTGACGTTTATTCCTGAGGAGAAGGATGACCACAGAGAGGTCACCTGCACATCACAATTTTACGGCCCAAAGACTTCCTATTCAACACTGACACTTGATGTAAAATGTGAGATCTTTTCTTTTATTCTGTTAATTACTGCAGTAAAAATTTATATTTTATTAGTAGTAGTAGAGTATCAAGTGAGGAAGTAAGGAAAATCGGTTTATTGTGCATGACACTGATATCAGTTCCAGTGTAGTTTTCAAAATACAACATGTAGTCTTGTATTAACATTACCTGCAGAGAATTTTGTATGGACAGGATGTCCATAAAGTCATGTATGTAATACAGTGGAAGAATGGCTCTTATGTAAATTCTGTCCGTTTGCAGGTACAGAAACCTTTAACCACATCATCATTCCCACAGCAGTGGGGATTGGTACCGCTGTGATCTTTGCACTCTTCTGCATTTTCATGGTGAAAAAATACAAGTGAGTTCTATACATAACATAACAGAAAACAAAAGATCAGTTATTAACCGTGACTGTATTGAGTGAATGTATTTTTGTGTTATCTGGTCTTATTTTTAAGTGTTTTCTGTGCTTATCAATAAGTTGTTTTTTTTTCTTTATGCTTAAGGAATCGCATTGCAGAGCTCCAACAACAAGAAGGCAGGCAAGTAGAAAAATAGATCAGTGCCCATATTTATCAAGCTTCTCAGAATTACTCATAAAAACACTGCTAAGAACTGACTTAAGAGTAAAAAAAATTCTTGGCTCAAAGCTGTGCTTAAAAGTTAGTTATCAAGCATCATAGTCCTAATTTGAGTGAAGTGTAGGACTAAATCTTAAGTGTCAGTCTTGGTGCTGATTTACGACACTTTGCTGTGCCGCAAACAGGATTTTGGATGTCGATGTTGCCAAGGACCAATCACTGAATAGATTTCCTTATTTAAGAATATTCTCAGATAAATTCACATTGAATGGTGAAATTCCTAAGAGGAGTTTATATTCAACACACATTTAACAATAAAGAATTTTCAAGATAATACATTATGACATGGGCCTACACGTTAATAAATTAACGTAAAAAAAAAGTTTATCTTTAGATGAGCGCCATCAAATGCGCCTCCTGTATTGCCGGCTATTTGCATGAACTGTGTTTGCTTCTGTTGGATTACGGGCGGTGTTGTTGGGAAGTCGATGAAACGCGTGACAGTGTGGGGAGCTGTAGCCTAATGGCAAATAAACGAAGCGTCATCACAACCTTCAATTTAACAGAAAACGCATTACTGTCAGTGGCGAGATGACGTCCCTCAACAACTTGCTGAAAAAGTTTATGCCTGGGCTGTCCGACCCCATCTTATTAACTGCGCGTCGTCATTATTCTCCCTCTCCTCTCCGCATGTCTCTGTCTCCACAGTGCCATCACAAGCCCCTACTGGCAACTCCTAACCACCTCTCGAGCTGTCTTAAATAACTGGGAGAGTAAGAGTGATTCTCAGCTTTGAGAAATTTGATAACTTGCTTTTATTCTTAAGTTTAAAAGTAGGAGTAAATTTCATGAATTCTCAGCCCTTAAGACTAAAATGGCACTTTGAGAAGCTTGATAAATACCGGCCCAGATTAAGTTTGTTGTGCTACACTGAAAGACAGGGCTGGACTGGGACAAAAAATCGTCCCACCATAATCAGGCAGAAGTATACCAGTGCAAGTGGATCAGTGTACTCATTTACTGACTCCCTGGTGATCAGAGGTGGCCATGGAGTACACAACTCATATTCAAGTAATTTTCAAAGAAAAAAACTCTGCTAGATGTCACAGTATCATTTCAAATTATTATTAGGTCCAGAATGGTTGGAATTCCCTGTCAAAGCTGTACAGTTTTAATAAAAACATACTGGGAATGAGAAAATAGCTGTTTATTCAATTAATGCATGACATGACAGGCCCTATTACACAGTCACATCTTTATCAACGGAACCCTTTGCCTAATAATCTTCAAGGTTCAGCGTGTAATATTTAGGAGGATCTATTGACAGAAATGCAATATAATATACATAACTATGTTTTCTGTGGTGTATAAAGACCTTACATAATGAACCGTTACGTTTTTATTACCTCAGAATGAGCCATTTCTATCTACATTCACCGCAGGCCCTTACATGGAAGTTTCCATGTTGTTTCTACAGTAGCCCAAATGGACAAACTGCTCTACAGAGCGTGTTTTGTCAATACATTGAATGAAAACGGAAGAAGTAGTAGTAGTGGTCTGTTTTATTAGAAGTAAGAAGAGAAATTGAATTTGGACAAATGGAGGACCACACTTATTATTTACCACAAGAGCCGACCGAGTGTGTCCCGTAGTTTCTCCTACACGCTTGCAATGTGAGGGGTGAGCAGTGAGTAAGCCGTTGGTTGCAATTTGCAACTCTCACCACTAGATGCCACTAAAACTTAGACACTGAACCTTTAATGATTTTATCATATTACATATGGACCAAGGTCACTCACAGCAACATTGGCTTAGCCAAAGCGATGCTGACAAAATAACCTATGGCAGCACAATGTCGTGTACTGCAGCTGATGTTATAGCTACTGCAGCCCCTGTAGCAAATGTCGATTATTGTGGCCAATTAGAACCAAATGGACCGCTGTCTGTGATGTATGGGCAAGTCGTTGACCAGCATTTGCCTAGTCTGCCAGATTACGAATACACCCCTGCAGATAGGCATTTTGAATTGTTTCCGTTTTATGAAAATGTGATTCATGTATTTATAATCTTTTTTCTTTTTTTTTTTTATTGGTCACATTTAGTGTGTGGAACCGGCTTTCCAGACTGTCTCGCAGGTGAGGAAACTGGTAATTTTGGAGTTGGGGAGCATGAGATACTACAGATATACATTTTGTCCCCAAAATGTCTGGAATCTCTGAGAGTATAGGCATACAGATTGTCAAGGATTATATTTTTATAGCAATAAACAGAACAAAAACTAATATTACTGTGGGCCATTCTGTTAAAGTTGAGCGGCATTTGAAGGGTTTCTGTCTTTACATATATTATATTTTAGTGAGTAGTCCTGTACTGTTCCAACTTTCACAGACCAGTGCATCACTGATCTCACAGTCATTTCACATATCTCTGCAGAAGTGTTATTTTACTAGTGTTGCTGAAACAATCTATGCTTATATTTATATATAAAATGACAAGATGGTATTTTCTGTTCTCCTTTTTCTGTGTTCTAATCAGGAACAGAGTCTGAAGATGAGAAGTGGAAAAAAAAACTTCCAAGAAATATGTAAGACCACACATTTTTCTTTAGTTGTTTTGTTCTCACAGTGAAACTACAACTACCTCAAAAATGTATTTATAGCTGAGGGGTGGTGATCGCGCATAGATAAGATGCTTGCCTTTGGTGTGGGAGACCTGGGTTCAATTCCCACTGTTAGACATCCACCATGTGTCCCTGAGCAAGACACTTAACCCCTAGCTGCTCCATAGGCGTGCGACCTCTGACATGTATAGCAATTGTAAATCACTTTGGATAAAAGCGAGATTAAATGAGAGATTTTTGGCCACAAAGGGGCACAGAAAATCCAAACTCAATATTAGCAGACACAAAGCAACACTAATGTACACTACGTAAATATATCTAATTGATTTTCCTGTTCTTTCAGATTGTCAGAGGGAATCTCAAGTCTGCTGTTTATTCCTGTTTGCCAAAGTGCTGCCTTTAAAGTGTCAATACAATACCGTTTTTAAATGACATTAATTCAGAGGCAAATAATTTACTGGAGGGTTGAATCTATTAGTTTGACAAGCTTGCTTCCATGTTATTCACATATTGGCTTTAAAGAAATGGCATAAGCTTAATAGCTTCTTAAAACAATAGAACATAAAAAAACAAGACAGAACGTTCTGTTGAATGTTTTTGCAGCCTTAATCCCTGAAAAGCAACAATTTGTACTGTTTCATCATGTTCACTTTGGTTTGGTTTGTCAACACATAAGTTTATGAGGAGAAAAAAAACTTATTCTTTATTCACCATCTACTGGCATGTGATATTAGAGGCAGTTTGTTGGTTTTCTAACTTGAACCAGTGGAAACACTGTGTGGATGTGTGATTTCGATTAATAATTTAAACTCATCTTTTATAAAGCTTGGCACCAAATCTAAAAGCGTTTTAGATATTTCTTAAAACAGTTTCTCCATCAAAATACCAAAGAAAATCAAATATTAATTTACATACAATCACCAATTCTTGTTGTCTGAACAGATGTATCACTGATGTAAGTTTTTTCTTTGCACATTAAAGTTTTATTTATAGTCAGCCTGATTTGATTATGTCATCATTGCTCAGTTGGTAATGCTTTTGTCCTCCACAGATGGATTGTGTTCAAACCTTCTTTATTTTGTATACTTTTGAGTGAGGGCTATACTATAGGTTTCATGATAAAGTAATGGTCTGAGACATCCACCAAAGTGTCCTTGAGCAAGACACCGTAATTCAAAAATGAAACTTTCATAAATTCTAGATTCATTACAAAAAAAGTGTAACATTTCAGGCCATTTTTGTTTGAATCTTGATGATTACAGCTTATGGTAATTCAAAATCCACATCTCAGAATATTAGAATAAGAATAAAGAATGTAAAACACAAACGACCTGAGAAGAACCTTTAATCTCTCAGTCTGGTTCAGTACACACAACCACAATCATAAGGAAAAGTTATGAGTTGTCCAGAAGACATTCATTGACACCCTCCACAAGGAAGGTAAGCCACAGAAGGTCATTGCTAAAAGGGCTGGCTGTTTGCAGAGTGCTGTATCAAAGCATATTCATGGAAAGTTAAAGTATGGTAGGAAAAGGTGTACAAGCAACAGGGATGACCACAGCTTTGAGAGGACTGTCAAGAAAGCAGATTCAAGAACATGAGGGAGCTTCACAAGGGCTGTGCATCAAAATGCACCACGCACAGATGTGTGCAGTAAATGAACTACAAGTGTCGCATTCCTAGTGTCAGGTCAGGCCACTTCTGAACCAGAGATAGCAGAAGAAGCGTCTTACCTGGGCTAAGGAGAAAAATCACAGGACTATTGCTCAGTGGTCCAAAATTATAATAAACTTTTTAATAAAAATAAATTTTGCATTTACTCATTTAGCTGACACTTTTTTTCAAAAGTGACTTACAATTGTAATACGTATCAGAGGTCACACACCTCTGGAGCAATTTGGGGTGAAGTGTCTTGCTCAGGGACACGTTGGTGTATGCGTCTCAGTGGGAATTGAACCCATGTCTCTCACAACAGGACACAAAGGCATGTGTCTTATCCACTTATTCATCGCCACCCAATTTCCTTTGGAAACCAAGGTCCCAGAGTCTGGAGGACGAGTGGAGAGACACAGAATCTAAGTCGCTTTAAGTCCAGTGTGAAGTTTCCACAGTCAGTGATGATTTGGGGTGCCGTGTCATCTTAGTCAAATGTTAGTTTGTCTGAAAGCACTGAGACAACTTGCGCCAGAGTGACTATTAGCTATAATGCTGCGTTCCATTTACCTCGGAAGTCAGAGCTGGGAATGATGTCACACCCGAGTTGACGGCGTTCCAGTTAACAAGTCGGAAAACCACAGCTTTTACTAACTGTTGATACCCCGACAGCCATCTTGGATCACAAAGTCGGGGTAGTGCGGTTCTCCCGACTTCGCAAGTCGGGATTCCAACTTAATGGGGCGTTCCCTTTGAAATTTTGGTCTTTGTACTCAGAAATTCCGACTTCCCATGTCAACTGGAACGCACCATAACACAAGCAACTTGAGTACAGGGACTTCAGTTTAGGTGTTAAAATACACCTTCTCTCTCTCTCTCTATTCTGTTTAGTGTGGGAAAGCTGTTTTCTGGCTCATGTGAATATGGGAGATAATGAGGCATATTTTCCTAGAATGTAGAAAGTATAGGTCAGAAAGAGAGGCATTCTCTTAGATTGGCAGGATATGGAGTTTGGTCTTTTCTGTGTAGTGAACCAGGCAGTGTTGGTTTAATTATTTTATGCCAAAAGGAAGAGCCCAGCATCAAATTCCTTTGTCTTTCCCTATGAGAAGGGGGGCGAATTATCACCCCTCAAATAGACAGGCTGACTCCCCAAAAGAGGTGGGCGTGAAAGGTCTAACACATCAAAAACACTTCTTATTTCCACTGTTGGGGAAGTTTCGACCATAAAACCTACCACCTCCGGTGAAGCTGAGATAACAGACTCTATGCATGACTGTTAAAATGACAATATTAACCTTGCCCAGAGACGTAACCTCAACCTGAACCAGGCTGTGAGGACTTCAATGGCCATAAACTAAGGGATTCTAATTGCATCACACACACACAAAGGCTGCCCCTCCCTATTCACACTGAGTTGTGAAACTGATAAGGAAAACCAGACACCAGAGGGAGGAGACTCCCTTTTTGTGGACAAAGAAATGTGGACTCCATGTAAATTTGCCTTAATTACCTTGTTTGAATTAAATAATCTTTGTTAGGTTACTTAGTGGCATGCCACTTCAATTTGAGTAGTTTTTTTACCATGTTCTTGTTAGAAACTATGTTGAAAAGAAGGAACCATAAAGAAAGTTAATTTAAAGTGCTTTTTATATACTTTCTTAGAAATTATATGCTACCGAAATATTATCATGTGTCAATTTTCCCAGCTCCTGAGCCAAGGACTGAGTTAACTATAAGAAGATAGTCAGAGGATTCTCAGGTCCTGTCATGTAACCAGTGTCCCCCCAGAGGACAAAAGAAATATTACTTGTCTTTGTCCTTTAATGCCTTTCCTTGTGTTTCATTTATCTTACCCTGTATTTTATTGTTTGTAATTTGATGCCATGTTCTTATAACTTCCTTTGGGGGTGGCAGTTGCTCAGTCCGTAAGGATTAGGCTGGGAACCGGAGGGTTGCCTCTTCAAATCCAGCTTGGACCAGAGTAGCATGGATTGGTAGCTGGAGAGGTGCCAGTTCACATCCTGGGCAATGCCGAAGGAGGCCTTGAGCAAGCCCCTGAACCTCCAACTGCTCAGGACGCCACATTGAGTGGCAGCCCCCTCACTCTGACATCTCTCCGTGTGTTACTATGGGTCTTGTTTGTGCATGTGAGACCTGTGTCTACATAACAGAGTGAAAACATCCCCTTAAATAAAGTATATCTTCTTCTTATATATTTGCTAAGGTTTAGTTAAGATGTTCTTCCCAACTGCTATGATCCCTATGAAATGTTTTAACTGGTAACTATTCTAAATGTTTAACGATTGACAATAACTTCCTTTCCTTTTATCAAATACTTAAAACTAAGAACTGCATAATGGTTTAGGATGGAAATTCAGGTGGTGCCCCAAAATGAGTGCTTATGAATAATATTTCAGAATATTATTATTCATAACTTTATTAACAGTAAGAGTAGTTCTGCTACATCTGTTACATCTTTGTTTGGACAAATTGAAAAGCATAAATTGATCTCCAAGGCAGTTCTTCAGTTTCTGCATGACCCATGATTGTATATGTAAGAATTTAGTTCAAACATTGACCTGTGAAAGGCAGTACTGTACTTAGCAGCATCTACACTGCCAGAGTAATACAAGAAGAAAAGGAAGAAGATCACTCTTGATGCATTTTGGTCCAGTGTGGCTAGGTAACATTTTAGTCTCCTGGAAGGTATGTATCAAAGCTTACTTTGTTTTAACTTTTGGGTTTTTTTTAACTGTTTTTATTGCAGGCATTTTAGGCCACCTGTCGGTCAGACCCTGTAAAGTGCACGACCTGTTTTTATGCTAGAGTTCCCTGCAGGGATGGCATTGGAAGTTGATACCCTGAGGTAAAATGTTTCTACATAGAAGTTCAGCTACGCAATTTTACACATATGTATGTGTGTGTGATTGTAAATTGCCTGGCAACGCTGTTGCCTTAAACATCCTGTGCATGAAGTGGAGTCAGATCTGGGTTTATTATGTACTGCATTGTTTGAGGTAAATAATATGAACTGTAAGGTATTTAGCAGCTATTTGTTTTGTAGTGTATTTATTAACTGATATAAATTCTTGTCATTGTAGGGTTGTATAACCACTGCTGTTTTGCATGCCTGATCAACTTTTGCTATTTGTGCTGTGACTTTATATATAGACCCAGCTACAGATGAATGGGCCTTGTAAATGTTCTTGCCAAATGCATGCAAATGCTAAGCTTTGCTAAGGCTATTGCAAGTTTTATTTGGGGGGCTGCATGATTTACCTCAGCCCTCAGGCCCCTTTCCCTCTTTTTCTAGTGTTCTGCTAGACGGACAGGGTGGTAGACTGTGGAAGCCCCTCTCCCCTTTGCTGCATGTGGTGGTGTGTGCGTGAAAGCTGCATTTACCTCGGCCTTATTGTATGGTTTTGTTGTATGTGTGAAATTTGTCAGGTGTCAGGGAATCCTGGTGGCTCAGGTAACCACCTGCATGTCTGGCTTATCCTTTAGCATCTCCGGTTTAGTATTGCTTGAACTTTTGTCCAGTTGTAGTGAATAAAACTGCCCAAAACCTGATTTTTAATAATGATGTTCCATAAATAACCCTTCATGTCAAAACCCATGTCTCTGTACTTTATTATTTGTGGGGAATTAGCTGCTTGGGGATTTGAACCCCTCACCACTTGCCTCAGTTACACATGCATCTGTGTCTTATCTATGTAACTCTCCCTCCAAACTGTGTAAATCTCCACAGGGAGGCACGCCTCTGTTCTAAACAGTTATTTGGTTTGTTGATGCAATGCAACAGTGCTACAAATCCAAATTTCTTAAACTTAAAATGACGGTGTCCTGCTGAAAACCTTTAAGACCTGCCTGACTTGGCTCCTCCACAAATTGTAATTGAACCATATCACTTTTTAAACAGCTGGCACCAGTCTCGCCCCTATAGCTGAAATGAGTCAGAATCACTGCCCTTAAATGGCATTAAATCTAAAAGTCAGCAATTCAACTCAAGTCTGTGGTCCATTTTAAATCCTATGTGTCAAAGACACTCAAACAACAAAATAAGGGGTAGGAGGTGTCAAGTCTAACTGTTTTTTCATGAACATGGTGAAAAGAACACCCCCTACTTTCAATACCATGAACTCTGCCACTGCTTAAACTATAGCTGCTCTCACTTTCACACCACGCAAAAAAACAAAAGGGGAACTCTTTTGTAGTTTTGTCTGCAGTGCCTTCTGTTGCCCCTAAAGTTAATGTTTTACTGAACTGAACTCCAGGATAGCAGGCACAAACAGCTGAGATCAGCGGCAAAATCAGGTAAGATTCTGATAACTAAATACTTGAAAGTAGAATATCTAATATGTGGCTGAGTACATCAGAACATTGAATCATGACGGTTTGTCAATCTAAATACTTCTTGTCTTAAATGTCTTAATTTATGTCATTGAATAGAAAGAAAGGGAAGAAAAAAGAGTGTGGGTAGTTCACAAAATGAATATTTTCACTTTTGTTTGTTAAAATATATTGTACTTGATGACATTAATGTCATATAAATACACTTTCAAATTGTTTTACTTTTGCAATTATATTATAATTTGCATGTGGTCTTGCATGTAATTTCACCCCCTCTTTTATTTAATTTAATTTAAACACACCACAGTAATACACCAGCAAAACTTCAGAAGTATGCACAAGGAGAGAAAGATGATGATATTCTGTCTGCTGTTGGCAGGTAATTCTAATCTCATATCTAAATACATCCCAATTAATTAATCAAAGACACCACTTAGAAGTGACGTCTTTCTTCTGTCACTTCCCGTTGTCTATTTCAGCTATTAGCAGCCCTGTGTTTAGTGAAGAATGGAAGGCCACTGTTGTAAAACATCTTGAGGTCCTGGTTTCATCCTGTGTTGTGGTACCCTGTTCATTCACCCATCCTAAAGAGAACCTGCCAGCCTCCAAACTCAGAAAGATCTGGCATTCTTCAAAAGGGCGAGATCAACGCATCTATCATGAAGATTCCACAGAAATCTCGGAAAACTTCAGGGGGCGCACAAGGTTGCTGGAGGAAAAGAGTGCTAGCAACTGCACTTTAGAAATAACTGAAATTAAAGACCATGACAATGGCCCTTTCTGTTTCCGGATTGAACTAGCACGGACACCGGGTGATACATCCACCATCGACAAGTTCTCCTTTGTTGAAGATTGTGTTGAGTTCACAATGCTCAGTATGTCACCAACCTTTTAAGATCATATAAACACAGATTTTCTGTTATAGCGATTTACCTCTTACTTTATCTCTGCCTTTTTCATTTGTAGATGAACCTCCAAAACCTACACTGATTCACCCAAAGACAGCCATTCAAGATCGTCCCTACACTGTCATGTGTTCAGTAATCCATACCTGCCCCTCCAATGTGCCTAAACTCACATGGAGTAGGGCAACCACAGACACTGATGTCATTGAAGTCCACAGACAAATTTATGTTGGCTACTGGGAGACACTATCCATCCTGACGTTTATTCCTGAGGAGAAGGATGACCACAGAGAGGTCACCTGCACATCACAATTTTACGGCCCAAAGACTTCCTATTCAACACTGACACTTGATGTAAAACGTGAGATCTTTTCTCTCTGTTGGTCATTTATTCTGTTAGTTACTGCAGTAAAAATTATATTTTTTGCCAAAGTCTTTACTTAATACTGGGACTATCAAGGGAGGAATCACCATTTGTTTATTAAGCATGACACTGAAATCAGTTCCAGTGTGGTTTGTCTTAATATCATCTTATAGTCTTGTATTAACATTACCTGCAGAGAATTTTGAGAGGATGTCCATCCACTTCAAAGTCATGTATGTAATATAATGGAAGAATAATGGGATGATGGCAGAAGGGCTATTATGTAAATTCTCTCCGTTTGCAGGTACAGAAAACTTTAACCACATCATCATTCCCACAGCAGTGGGCATTGGTACCGCTGTGATCTTTGCACTCTTCTGCATTTTCATGGTGAAAAAATACAAGTGAGTTCAAAATGATCAGTTAACCTTGACAAAGAGGGAATGTATTTCCTGTTTTCTTTACCCTTTTCCTGCGCTTGTCAATAAAAGTACTTTTTTTCTTTGTCTGCTTAAGGAATCGCATTGCAGAGCTCCAACAACAAGAAGGCAGGCGAGTAGAAAAATAGATCAAATTCAGTTTATAGTGCTGACTGATAGGCATTTTGAATTCTTTCAGTTTTATGAGAATGTGATTCATGTTTGTTTTTTTGCACTTATTGGTCACATGTAGTGTGTGGAACCGGCTTTCCCGAATGTCTCGCAGGTGAGAAAAACTGGTAATTTTTGGAAGGTGGGGAGTATGAGATACTACGTTATACATACTATATACATTTTGTCCTCAAAAATGTCTGGAATGTCTGACAATAGAGAGGGATAGAGAAGGATTACATTTTCTGTCTTTATAGATATTATAGTTTAGTGAGTAATTATGTACTTTTCCAACAGTAAACTTTCACACCCCAGTACATCACTGATATCACTCTCACTCTGCAGAAGTGACATGTTTATTTTTATTGCTGTTGCTGATAAGATCTATGTTGACATTTATATTTAAAATGACAAGATGGTATTTTCTGTTCTCCTTTTTCTGTGTTCTAATCAGGAACAGAGTCTGAAGATGAAAAGTGGAAAAAAACTAGAAAGAAATATGTAAGACCACACATTTTTCTTTAGTTGTTTTGTTCTCACAGTGAAACTGCAACTACCTCAAAAATGTATTTAAAGCTGCATTAATAGATTTTTGGCCACAAGAGAGAAAGTAAGAGAAAATCCAAACTTGTTCGCACATAATTGCACCAGACACAAAGCAACACTAGTGTACACTACGTAAATATATCTAATTGATTCAAATGCTTCTTTTCCTGTTCTTTCAGATTATCAGAGGGAATTTCAAGTCTGCTGTTTATTCCTGTTTGCCAAAGTGCTGCCTTTAAAGTGTCAATACAATACTGTTTTTAAATGACATTAATTCAGAGGCAAATAATTTACTGGAGGGTTGAATCTATTAGTTTGACAAGCTTGCTTCCATGTTATTCATCTATTAGCTTTAAAGAAATGACATAACTTTAATAGCTTCTTTAAACAATAGAACATAAAAAAACAAGACAGAAATTTCTGTTAAAAGCTTGAATGTTTTCGCAGCCTGATTCCCTGAAAAGCAACAGTTTGTATTGACAACTGATTTAGAAGTCAGTGTAGAAGTGGCTAATAATCATTTCATCATGTTCACGTTGGTTTGTTTTGTCCACACAAAGTTTATGAGGAGAAAATAACCTTTTTAGCTGTCAAACTCATTTTTATCTTTATTCACCATCTACTGGCATGTGATATTAGAGGCAGTGTCTTTGGTTTTCTCAGTTAAGCCAGTGGGTACACTGTGTGGTGTCTGAATGTGTGATTTCTATCAATAATTTAACCTGAACTTTTACAAAGCTTAGCACCAAATCTAAAAGTGTTTTAATCTCAATTTGAAGACAAATATGATAAAACTGTTTCTCCATCTCTATACCAAAGAGAATTTAATTTAAACATGAAAACATTCACCACTTCCTGTTGTCTGAACAGATGTATCAGTAATGTATTTTTTTTTCTTTCTACATTAAACTTTTCTTTGTACTCCTGATTTCTTTTTATCATCATTTCTCAATTGGTACTGCCTGTCATGGGCAGCTGAGTGCAGAAGCTGAGAACTGAGGTGTGGCCCCAAATGCAGATGCAAATGTTGAAACCTTATACATTTTGTATACTTTTGAGTGAGGGCTATACTCAAGCTTCATGAAATGTAACAATCTGAAATTTTAGGCACTTACATTTTTATTCAACTACTTTCAGCTGGAGCAAAATCTGGAGCTCCTACACCACACATGTCTGAGAAACCTGACATGGATTTTTTGTAGAAACTGGCCACTCTCATTATCAGTTAGCAGTGGCGTGGGGTAGGGTAGATTTTTGGGGAAGCCAAGTGAGAGGGGATGTCCTTCTTGGAGGGCAATTATGTAATGTTTTGTCCTATTACAGTGCAGTGTATAATTTTACACAAAACTGAATCATACTTCAAATCAAACTATCTGTTATCAATACACACGCAGTAGCACTTACCGACACGTACACTCTCTCTCTCTCTGTCACTCTCTCTCAGCCCAAATAGCATACATAGCCCACTGCTTATAGTGCACAGTACAAATAGGCTAGGTTTAAGAATAAAAGAAGCTTTCACAAGCTCAATCAGACAACGATGGAAGTTTACATTTGTATAGTAGCAGTGGTGCATGTATCAAATAGGCCTACATACTTCTTATTGCTTGGCTAAATGTTCATAACCCAACATCACTCAAGACTAACAACCAAGTACCAGACAGAGTAAAAACAATTATTCAGGTAGCCGCAGTAAAAACAATAAGATTACTTCAGCGGACTACTCATTCAGCAGCTAAATCCAGGCAAGCAAAGCAAAATAAACAATAAAACCACATCAACAATTGCACACATAGCTGCAGTTTAGTTAAGTTCAGAGGAGGTGAAATTTCACTCACCCTATTTGAAAAGGAAGGCCATTCTCCTGTCTTTCATGGTGGCAAAGTAATAACCAAGTTATAGAATTTCCCACTGGCTTTTAGTTCCTCCACAACAGTCAGTTGAAGTTTGATATATTTTCTTCATTGAACATCCGAAACCCCTTTTTTCACTCCATGCACAGCTCCAGTTTTGCCGTTGGTCTTCCATCAGATTTTATCTTAAATTGCTGCTCTAGTGGTAGTTTAGTACTATTTATTATAACTAAAAAACCCAAATCTCCACCCTCCATAACTGCACCAGCTAAAGTTGCTAACAGCTCCCGTTATTTCATCTGAATGACGTTGATCGCATGCTGTGATTTGATTGGCATGAAGCCAGACAGTGGCTGACTTCTCTTGGCATCATCCTGACTAATCATAGTTAGGCAGTGGCATGACAATGGCCTCATCTGATTGGTTAATCTTTTTTTTTTTTTTCACAAAAGGATGCCATCTCTGCCTGGCCTCCTCGCGTAGTCAGACTGCAGGTCAGTCTACGGTGGTGCAATATAATGTTTCACCACACATTCAACGCAAAGCATTTAGAGAGGCGCTGTTTCACTTATTGTAAAATACCACAGACTGTATATAAAAATGGACATAGTATCCGTGACGTCACCCGTTGGTTTCTGAAGCAAGTATTTTCAGCTGCAACCCACCTGAATCTCTACTGTGGACTTGTTAGCTTGGCTGTTAGCGTAATTGTGGAAGTCAAACTGGTTGGTTTTAGAGTTGACCCCACGCTCTTTTATTTTGTTTTCGCCATTCGGCATGGTAGCAAGCAGTTACGGAGTTAATATTATCCAACAAGAAGCGCTTTCGAGTTTGTTTTAGAGCAAAACATAAAAGTTTGTTAGCAGCGCTCGAGAGTCAGCGTCTTACCGAGCCACCATCTTGCGCGTCCCCGCTCCGCCAACAACGACGACGGCGATGACTTCTTGTTCACTCTGCTACCCAAGACCCCCTCCAACTCTCTGATGCATAAGAAAGGTAAACCGTCTATCGAAGAGGAGTCAAGCAATATTGTAGCAATAGGAAAGCAAAATCCAAGATGAGATCTCATAGTTGTTTCCTTCTTTTGTCCTAGACACAAATGAGCTGCTTTTAATACCAAAGTGAGACCAAAGGCCTTTTCTCCCCCTTCTCAAATTCATCTCAGGAGAGACAACCATTTAAAATCTCATTTATGTCGGACTCTGATCAAAACAAGAGATCTCTAACTGATCTTAAATAAGTCTAATTTAAGTCTCCTGAACATTGGACCATGAGATCAGAGAAAGAGCTCAAAGAAAACTCAGCTATGACTCCTGGGATCTCATGATTCTTCTCATATATGTCTCAGTTTTCTCATATTGGCGTCAGGAGCAAATAACTCATCTCTGTCTTACTCTGATCAAAAGATGAGATCTCTACAGTATCTTAAATAAATGTGATTTCAGTCCAGAATGTGGATCAGAAAAAAAGCTCCAAGATATTTCTCAGTTAGGGGTTTACTCAAGTACTTTACTTACATCAAATGTTGAGGTTGAGTATTTTCTTTTTATGGGGGTTTGTACTTTTACTCCCCTTAATTTCAAATCCTTATTGTATTTATTGTTAATTATCTGTTACAAGTTACTGAGAAAAATATAATAAATTTTGACATTGAAAATAATGCACTTTCAAATGTCAAGGTAGTCACAGCCAGCATAAATGGAAAACCTAATACTTTGACATGATGTTTAGAGATTAATTCATTAAGGACCGAATGCACACAAGACAAAAAACAAGTATCTGTCATACAGAATATACATTTTTACTTTTGATACTTAAGTACATTCAGTATGGAATACTTTTATACCTTTAACTTGAGTAGATATTTTGAGGACTATAATTGTGGATATGGTATTTCTCCTCTTTTAAGTAAAGGAAAATTGTACTCTATTTAAAGACAATCAGTCCTTCACTATTAATTTTAGTCGGATGGCACAGCAGCAGTGTTGTTGCCCTTTGAGCAGCAGGAGCAGGGATCAAATCCAGCTCTGGGCATGCCTCCAGCATGGTTCTCCAAGCATAGACAGCAATGTCATACGATCAAGCTCATAAAAATCTTCCCAGAGCTCCAAACTGCTTTTTAGGAGCAATAAGCAAGACATTAATGAACTCAAAAAGATACAATGATGAGATCTCATCTGTTATTTTCATTTATCCTATTGTAATCTCAATTCAGTATCCATTTGTCTTACCTAAGTCTCAAAACCTCAATCCCTCTTCACCTCATCGTTTTCTCTTCCTCAATTCAGATTAGAGTGATCTCAAAAAATCTTAGTGTTTTCTCAAGAGTTAAAGAAAAGACCATTCTGAGCAAAAGATTTTTCCTGTGGGAAGGCTCTCCCATCTGATTAATAATCGAGCTGATGGCCTTGAAAAAATGATCAGCGGCAACTCCATTAAGATTGAAGGTCTTAAAAAAAAACATTGACTTTTTATCTGAAGAGATGAAGGATATCAAGAAGAAAATGAACAACGTTGACTCCAGGCTGAAAACAGAGGAGAGACAAGTGGAAACATGCGAAAGTCGTATCATAGAGCTGTAACGATATTCCCGCAAATGGAATTTGAGGTTGCTGGGGATCCCTGAAAAAGAGCGCAAAGACATCAGAGCTGAGGTTCTTCATATTTGCCAGGAGGTCTGCCAAGAGGTGAAGGAAAAACTGCCAGACGGAATCGACGTCGTTCACAGACTGGGTAAGAGGGATCATAAAAAAGGGAAGCATCAAGTCATCATTATGCAGTTCTCTTCTCGCATCCAGAGAGATGCTTTATGGAAGGCAGCTAAAACATCCACGTTCCTGAAAGACAACAACCTGCAGTTTGCAGAGGATCACCCTGACCGACCGGGAAAGAAGACACCAGCTCTGGCCTCTGGTTAAGGAGGCCCATGCTGCTGGCAAAACGGCGTATTAGATTGGAGCGCGTGCCTTTGCTAACGGCACTGAGATTCCCCTGCCATTACCACAGTCAGCACCTAGTATGGTAGTGGTGTCTACTGGTTCCAAAATCTGCCACGTGAAGTTGAGCTAGATCTCATTAAGCAACTTTCTAATCTGCATTTTGAGTATTGAAGTAATCGCTTATGTTTAAGTAAAGTTATTTTATACTATGGCAGGTTTTCTTATGCTGTTCTCTAAATCCAACCTAGCCTGTGAACAGGCCTGTAAACTGTTACAACATGTTAACAACTGTATTTTACATCCTGAGGTGTTATTTTTACATCTTTATGTCTTTATCTTTTCTTTCTTTTAATACCAGGGGTCTGAGAAATAATTTAAAATCTAAATCTTAAACCTCGAGCTCCAAAGTCCTCTCCAAACAATCTCGACTTTTGGCTCATCTCTCAGAAATTTGACTTGGACAATATACACATTAATGTCCATGCTGCTCCCTTCTCTGATCATAAGGAAATTATTTTGAAGATTAAGGTTTATTCTACTACATATTCCTAGAGCCTTATGCTGGAAACTTAATAATAGCTTTCTTTTACATAAAAATGTCATAAATGATATTACATATCTAATTAAGTCTCACTGGGAAGAAGCTTGTAAGTCATTTGGTCAACAATGGGAGATCTTACAATTTGAAACAGGCAAATATATGAGATCATGTAGCAGCAAAATTAGCCAAATTTAGGCGACAGGACGAAGATAGGCTGTTATGTCAAATTGTTTCGTTATCTGATAAGACTACCGAAAACCTTTCTGAGGAGAAGTTAATTCAGCTTAGTGAATGCCAAAATAAGTTAGATGACATGTATAGACAAAAGGCCCAGGGGACATATCATGAACAATGTTAGGCTGGTTTTGGATTTATTAGATTACTGGGAACTCATTAATGATAATAGCTTTATTCTGTTGTTGGATTATTATAAGGCCTTTGATTCCCTTCACAAATTTATTTATAAATCATTGTTCAAATTTGGTTTTGGTGACTATTTCTGTAAATCTATCAAAACACTTTACTCAAACAGTAATGCTTCAATCAAACTTAAATATGGTACCGCACCCCAGTTTCAGTTAGCTTGAGGCGTTCGTCAAGGCTGCCCTGTCTCTCACTACTTATTCCTCCTTGCTGCTCAACTCCTCTCCACGTTAATTCATGAAAGTCATATTCAAGGCATCTCTCTTGCTTGCAGACAGATTACCATAAGTCAGGTGGCTGATGATACTACACTTTTTTTGGCAGACTCAAACCAAATTCCTGTTGCCATTAAACACATTGAAATATTCTCTGCAAAGGTCTTCTTCTAAACATTAAAAAGTGTGAGCTATTACCCATTAAACAGTGTGAACATGCTTCCTTTTATGGCATTCCGGTGAAAACTCAGGTAACTTATTTGGGCATTGTGATAACTAAAGCTAAAGATGAACGATGCAGTTTGAACTTCAGCCCTATTATCAATAAAACTCAGAAAAGATTCTATCTCTGGCGAGAGAGACTTATCCTTAAGAGGTAGAACTCTGTTAACGAAAGCTGAAGGTATCTCTTGGCTAACATATGCTTCCCTTTCCCTAAATGTTGATAAAGATGTTATTTAAGTTTATTTGGAAAAACGAAACCCATTATATAAAAAATACTGTGATAATGAACACTATCAACTCTGGAAACCTGAATTTCTTAGATCCTTGTAGATCCTTGAACTACACCTTCAAAATCAACTGGATCAGAAAATTTCTATGTAATCCAGAATCAGTGTGGAACTTCATTCCAAATTACCCCAATTTTCCAAATTAGGTGGAAGAATTAGGTCTCTTTTTCAGAAAGACATTGTCACCATCCCATATATAATCCATTACTGGGGAAGATTTGTTTCAAATATCAAGTGGAAAAAGGTTTGGACCATACCCTCAAAATACTTGATCACAAATAAACCTTGAGACGTCTGTTTCAAACTTCTCAATCGCTGCTAGCTAGCTACGGTTAGCTCCCCCACGCCCAGTCACACAGACCACTGCAGCCAACACAGCACACGTGTCCAGCAACAGCTGAATGATACTGTTAATGTTCGTTCCGCTGTTATTCTATCATTAAATTCTCAGTAATGTTGTAAAATTTTAAGTTAAATCAAGATACATCTGGCTTGTGATGTAACGTTACATAATATTCTTGGTTCGTGAAACTTAAAATATACAACAACAACAGTGGTATGAATTGAGACATTGCTTTATTATCATTAGGCTTTTATAAATAAATATTTGCAGGAATTATAGTATTAATATACTATATTAATAATATTTAATTATAGTATAGTAAATATTAATGCATAATGTACGCTGATTACTACGTTGACAGTTGACACCTCTTTTTTAACGGCTCTTTCTTTTATTTAACAGCTATGCGTGGGCCGAGCGTCCGAGATAAATGTCATCACGTTTTGTGCGCTGTGGCTTCTGGGACAAACCATATATGGAAGTTCCACTTCCGTCAACTTCCATCACGTTTGTTAGCAGGCTGCAGGCTGCAGTTGAACCCTTCTCTTCTGAAGAGCAGTTTTGAAGCCCAAATTGGGTGGAGCTGGCCGGCGCCATCTTGGCAGCGCGTCACCATGCGTCACTCCCAGAAAACCAAAAAATGGAAAAGAGGCGGGTCGCTCCCGGAGCTCTATGGTGGAGGTTGGAACCTGTGGCCGTGTTGTGACTAACATTAGTTTATGGTCATTACCAGCTCACAGTCAAGGTAATTATTAAAGTTACTGACATTATATTTCACAAGGTTTAAAATGCTTTTTAATATATAACGCTACATGTGGTAAAGTTATTTTGCAACACATACGTAAATGTTAGATTTTGTTGAGACCGTTAACAGTTAAACTACAGTTATTAATTACATTAACATTTACTTACATCTCAAACGAACAATTTGAAGCAAATCAATTAACCCTTATCCATACCCTTAGTTACGTGTCATTTATTTGGATGTCACCTGATTATGTTTGTAGAACCTGCCCAGTCCCAGGGGGGCCAGGGTTAGCCTCAACCTGTCAGGCCACACCTGAACTGATAAGAGGCCTGATGAGGCTCTGCTCAGTCTCTCTCCCTTTGTTTGCTGTAGCATGTGGATCAGCATGAAGTCTTGCTAAACCTTTCCAGTTGATTGTGCACTGGATGCATTATTTGATTAAGTTCTGTATATTTGTTATAGTTATTGCTGTTTCCTTGTTCAATAGTAAATGAGTGCTTTATACTCATACTGGTGTGCCAATGCAGAAGCTCTATACATCCAGTTTTCTACAATGTTACTTGTAATAAACGTAATAAGCTAGCAGTAGTGTCCTTAGTTACATGATGGAAGCTGTATAACTTGTAAAACATTACCCATGGCTGTTATCACGTTAATTAATTCCCCACACCGCAATTTTGAGTAACGCTGCTGCTGTCAGAAGGGCTGTGTGAGATTATTGTCTGGAATAGGATACTTAAGAGAAAGGTACTTTTTATATTTATCACAAGATTTTAGTGATCAGTTCTAGTTGAGGATCTGATGCCTCCACATCTGCTACTCATAGCTTAAACTGTAAGTAATGTTATTAGGACAACTACAGGACATTTGACTGTGATATAAAATTCTTAAAAAAGTCTTAAAAGGACAACAAAAAAAAACATTTAAAGACTGTCACACTTTTCACATTTTCTACCACTTTGAATAAATTGGTAATAAATATATACTTAATTAACCTCTTAATAAATATGCTTAAATAAAAGTATATTTTTACAACATTTTTAGTCTATTTATTAAAGATATATTTATTTAACTCTTAGTAAATACTATTTAAGTGTACTTTGTGGAAGTACACTGTTAAACAATTACACTTAGTGGGTTGAAAATATATTTATGCCAAACATGCTTCATTGTGTAGGCTACTGCAAAATATTGTAATTATTTATGTAATTGCCACATGTTTCAGCCTGATTTCCAGAAGTATGATTTTTAAAACATATTGTTTTACATTAAAATATTTTTCAAAGCATATATATATATATTTCATTTCTTTAAATTTTTTTTAATCAGGTAAATAGCTAGTTGAGATCAGAGACCTCTTTCATAAGGGTGACCTGACCTAGAAGGAAGCAGCACATGTTGTTAACTTAACAAACAACAACATATAGAAATAAGCATATTTCAAATCATAATGCAGTTATACTTTTTCTGTTTGTAAACAGTAAACACATGTATACACATGTATACACATGCGCAAAGTGTGCCCTCCCACCCAGCCCACTAGTGCAGTGCATTCAATTTGACCAATCAGAATCAAGGTTTTCAAATCGACGACCCAATCACACAGCGTGAAAGTCCGCTTCAGGAAAGTTGAGGTGTGTACTGTCATTGAGAGAGGGAAGCTATTTCAGAAATCATTTTGTTTCTCAGTTTTCCTTTGTTTTACTTTACCGACTCGGACTTGGAAGGTGGACAACATAGACATAATAAGAAAAGAACACAGAAGAGAAGAATATCCGGTCAGCTCCCTGCAGAAGTTAAATGTGAAAAGAGCTAAAGAGGCGTGACTGGCAAGTACAAGCAGGAGAGGAGAGACGCAGATACTGCCAGCAAAAAATCGGCTTTCTTGGTAAGTTCATTATTGTTAGCAAGAAACACAATTGTGTAAGTTAACTAAAGCTGAGCTCACTCTGGATTTGGAAATATTTTCCTTGGTGGATAGCTCTGGTGTGCGTTAGCTAATGCTAGCATGTGGATTAATATATTTGTTAGCTAACATTAGTTAGCATTTTAACAGCTTCATAATCAAGCAACAGCAACTTTCGTCTGCCTTAAACAGTTTTGGGAGTAACGCGTTACAAAAGTAACTACTAAGCTACTATGAATCATCAGCTAAGCATCTGCATTAGACTATCCAAAAGTGGATATCTTCTAAAGGTACACAGTTTTTAGAGATTTCACTTCACTGCAGCCACGGAGGGGGTATTCATTACAGTGACCAATAATTCAGTTATAACAGCAAAGTGTACACGCATATGTGAGAATTGTTTTAAGACGCACTTGAAATAATGTTTTTATGTACTGCAATGCCTGACCACAGGATATAATAGCATGTGATGTAATGTAAAATACTGCTCAATACTGCTCTTTGTATGGTCATAGATCCTGTATAAATTTTTTTAAAGTTGAACCTACCCTTTGCCAACTTTAACCAACTTAATGCTAAACCCAGAGTTGGAATTTCCTGCCTTAGCTCAAGAAAATTAAATAAAGAATAATAATAAAGATTTGCTATAACAATAGAATTACAGTGTTTATAATGATACGCAAATGAAGAACTAAACTAGGTAGAAGTACTGGCCTAACTTGAATATTTAAACTCATTTGCAACTGCATTTCTTTTCTTTTAGAGCTTCCTGGGATCGTTGCCTCACTCAGATGGCTTAGAGTCCACGAAAACCTCAAAGGACCAGCTGGACCCTCACAAGCTCGATGTGTTCATAGGTATGTCTGGCTCCTGCACACCATCACTGTTTTTGCTCTCACTACATGTCAACGGGGTCAGACTAGATAAACAAATATTCTTGTGAAAAACTTTTCCTTTTTTTTTAAATATTGTTATACATTAAGTAATTGGCTACTTCACAAATTGACTGCTGTGCTAATGTGAAATGGCATGTAGACAGTACAGTTGTTAAGCAAATCAGAATGTTTGGGTTTAATAACATTTTATCATATACAGCTCCTTGGCTGAATGTACAGTAATGTACATTATTATGTTTGTATTATATAATGTTTTTGATCATGTTGTAATGGAAGAACTGAGCATTAACTGGGAGGGGTCCCTTGTGGAAAACCATTTCACCTGAACCTAAACTATTAGCATTATCAGAACAGTTAGACATGATTTCATATTGTGTTTCAGCAACTTTAAACAAAATAAAAAATCTGACAATGGTTGTTAATTAATTAGAGGTAATATTGCTTTGATATAGACAAAATATTTCCTTTTCTCTTCCACAGATGCTGTGTGTCTGCAGTTGCAGAAAATGCAACGAGTCCCACTCAAAGATAACCGACCCTCCACTCCAAGGATTAGGATTGTGACATTTTTTAGTTTCAGTTTGGTTCCACCATTTGTACTACATGCTTGTGACAGAGTGCCTTCACTACAGCTGAGTAAGCGCTTGGACCGCCATACCAACGAGCCTGGCTTTTTGGCGTTGCTATCAAAGTTGCATGTTTGGTACCTTGTAGACCTGTGTTCAAATCTGGGTAAGGTGACTGCTCTCGCCTTTGGCTGCATATGGTGTCAGAAGTGGGATGGCTTGCCGTGAGGTCATCTGAGCTGTGCCCAGAGTCCGAACCGTATGAGGTCCCTCATACGGGTAACATTAATGATGGGATGTGTATAGTGTACTTTTCAGTAATACTGATCATATGTCATAATTTTACTGATTTTATTTTTATTTAGGTATTTCGGTCAAGATGTAATACATGCTGCTGTACCTTTTAATGTACAGGAAGTTATTTTTGTAATATACACAAAATTAAAGTTTTTTAGTTGTCTGTATGTGTGTGTGTTGTAAAATTATTTTTTTTACTGATTTTTATTATTATGCTAAAAGGGCATTTTGCAAGGTATTTTTAATGCATTAATAATTAATTATTCTCATACTGAATGGTTTCATAAAGCAGCTTCCCAAGATATTAATAGTGGCTCTCGGAGTATACTAGTAATAAATTACTAATATGCTGAAATGCTAATAAAAATGTTGAGGGAACACATTTATGTGAAGTTTAAAATATATTTAAACTGTTCTTCAAGTATAGCACAAAAGGGTATTTTAAGTTAAATTTAAAGAAGTATATTTAAATTACAGTAAAGGTACTTTAAAGGCTTAAAATATGTCCATTTTAACACAACTAAGTATATTAAAATATATTGCAATTATCTTAAGGTTGACTTTAAGTATTTCTAAAATTCAATTCAATTCAATTTTATTTATATAGCGCCAAATCACAACAACAGTTATCTCACAGCGCTTTTCATAAAAGAGCAGGTCTAGACCATACTCTATGATGTTATTTACAGAAGCCCAACAGTTCCCACCAAGAGCAAGCACTAGGCGACAGAGGTAAGGAAAAACTTCCTTTTAAGAGGCAGAAACCTCGAGCAGAACCATGGCTCAGGGTGGGCGGCCATCTGCCTCGACCGGTTGGGGTGAAGGAGAGAGAGGGAGAGAGAGAGAGAGAGAGAGAGGGCAGGAGAGGAACAGAGAGAAAAAGAGAGGGATGGAAGGAAAGAGAGGAGAGGGAGGCAGCCTACACAATATACACACACAGAGGTACAGACAGTAAAGGTGATGTTGCTATAGACTAAATGAAAAATGGTACAGATATTTATAGTAGCGTTAATGGTAACAGTCGTAATGTTAATGATTATAATAACAATAATAACAATAGGACTAGTAACAATAGTCGTTGCAGCAGAGGGTGTCGAGCAGGAACACGGGGGCAGCAGGTGACCCGCAGCCACAGATCCAGACTCCACAGCTCCAGAGCCAGAAAACCTGCAGGAAGTGATAGGAGGAGAGAGGAGAGGGACGAGAAAGCACAAGACTACCAGAAAGGGGAGAAGTTGTGTTAGTAACAAGCAATAATGGGGTGAGGTTGCATACAGAGGGAGAGAAGGTAGAGGAGAGAGGAGCTCAGTGCATCATAGGAAATCCCCCGGCAGTCTAGGCCTATAGAAGCATAACTAAGGGATGGTTCAGGACTCACCTGAGCCAGCCCTAACTATAAGCTTTATCAAAGAGGAAAGTCTTAAGCCTACTCTTAAATGTGGAGATGGTGTCTGCCTCCTGAACCCAAACTGGAACCTGGTTCCACAGGAAAGGAGCTTGATAGCTGAACGCTCTGGCCTCTACTTTTGGAGACTCTAGGAACCACAAGTAACCCTGCATTCTGGGAGCGCAGTGCTCTGGTGGGGTAGTAAGGTACTATGAGCTCTTTAAGATAAGATGGTGCCTGGCCATTAAGAGCTTTGTAGGTAAGAAGAATGATTTTAAATTCTATTCTTGATTTTACTGGAAGCCAATGAAAAGAAGCTAAGACAGGAGAAATATGATCTCTTTTCCTGGTTCCTGTCAGAACACGTGCTGCAGCATTCTGGATCAGCTGAAGAGTCTTAACGGACTTTTTCGAGCAGCCTGATAATGAGGAATTGCAGTAATCCAGCCTAGAAGTAACAAATGCATGGACTAGTTTTTCTGCATCATTTTTAGACAGGATGTTCCTGATTTTCGCAATATTACGTAGGTGAAAAAAGGCCTTGAAATTTGCTTAATGTGAGACTTAAAACGACATGTCCTGATCAAAGATAACTCCAAGATTCACTTAATGACACTTAACATACTTTAAGTTGTTCCAAAATAACACATTTAGTATACACTTAGTATAGTACAATTAAAACATGATAAGTGCATCCAAAAAAATTGCTACTTGTGTATTTCTTTTTTACTTGGGTTATAATACAGAAATGTATTTATTCTAAAATGTTTATACATTTTGAGATACTAGTTTTTATTTCCATGAACTGTTAACCGTAATAATCAAGATGAAAACAAAAAGGGTTTGAAATGCTTCACTTTGTGTAATGAATCTAGAATATATCAAAGATTAAATTTTTGAATTAAATTACATTAGAAAATTAACTTCTCCACAATATTGCATTTATTAAACATTTTCCTCCCAGAGTCACATTGTGGATCAGATGTCCCACCTGGTGCCAGAGAGCTGCAAAGACCTGGGGAGCATCCTCATTGTGCTGCTGACTGATGTGGAAAGGCCTTCTCTTCTGTTTACTTTGAGTTTTAAATATTGTCCATATTTGTGTTATAGGTCCATTTAAAAAAGATATGGTTTATGGTTCACATTGTAATAAATTCTATATATATTAGCACTCCCTGTTTTTACTACTTACTGAATAGATAATTGTATACCACAGATAAAACATTATCAGACATTAAAGCTGATATCTTGCTAAATAACATCAGTCTAGTATAAGTTGAAAAGTGAAAATACTCAACCCAACATGTTTCACATGAAATGTTGAAAAGTAATTATGCAGTGTATTTCTGTGTGTGCAGGAGTATTTTTACTTTCTACCTTATACTTTACGATAAATAAGGAGCCATACACCCAGTAACAGAGCCTGAAGTTTCTGAAGAGTGTCTTGTTTGCACATTTGAGTGTCACATTTGTCTCTTAAAGAAATGTCAACCTTTCATTTTGTACTTTCTACTAACATAAATGCAAAATATTAACCTATAAATACCATCTTAATATTTTCATTTACAGCTGTTAACTATAATATATTGTTGAGTTGAGATCGCACTATTTACAATTAGCATAGGATGAATGAAGAATGTGATTTTATTTTAAGTATAATTAGTCTGATCAATTGTATAACAAAGTATTCCTAATACTAATCGATAATAACAAATTAAACTCTTGTCTTGCATTCATGAAAACATCTATATTAAAAGGTTACAAATGTAAAAGTAATTTTGTATGACTTGAAATAATGTGTTGTAAGAGTTATTATAATGATAGAATCTGTTGATAAGAACCCAGTGTCATAATTTAACATCAGTAGTGCTCAGGTGTTGTGAGTAAAAAGAAAAGGCTGAGCAAAGCAGGAGCTGAAGAGCCTTGCTGGAAGCTGGAGCTGTTATTTCCTGTAGAGCTGGGCACACAGCAATGGCAGTTAAGCAGCTTCTTCCCAACTGCCATAAAGCTACTCAACTCTGAGATTGCCTCAGCATGATGACCTCTCTGGCATGTAACAGTAATTAGGGCTGGCAATGTGAAATACATTGTTTACTGTGCAATATTAACGTTTGCTGCTGGACACTGCAATAATAATCCATGCTGCTAGACACCTGTTGACTACTCAAGTCAGATCTTATTGAACATTTATTATAAGGATCTTGTTTTATATTTCTTGTTGAACTGTACTAACCTTTTTGGCAAATTCTAATCCACCAAATAAACTCGGCTCTCACACACCTAATTTCTTGCCTTAACTAAACCATTGCCCTAGTTACAGCCCAGCTACCTGTCTGCAGGCATAATATATACTAACTATATGCTGACAAAAGAAGTGGATGCAAATCTCCGCAGGTAGTCTACAACATCTGTTCTGCCAAATTATGCATCCACCTCTTAAGCTCCTTATCAGAAACGTTGCTGATCAAACGCAGTTTTCACCTCAGAGTGTTTGCTGAATCTCAAGGAATGCTACATCTACTGAGTATATTAACTTATTGATGACTCTAAACATACTTAAATATGTACTTCGAATCAATCATCCCCACTGATGAACCCCACAAAGAATTGTATATTGTTTTTAAACAGTACACTTGGAGGTGCACAGCTGTCCTCGTCGAGCAGGCAGAGCGCAGCAGCCGCTCCCTCCTCAGCTCTCTGCCTTTTAACCCTTCGTGTCCATCGGGTTCAGGTGCAGCCACTTATAGTCGCCGCACACCAACCTTCAGGACGCACAGAGCATGCTGGCCAACCGGATACTGTGTGTGGAGCAGACAAACCCGGGCTCCCTTGTTATTGTTCTTGGTGACTTTAACAGGGGAAATCTCAGCCAAGAACTTCCCAAATACAGACAGTTTGTGTCCAACCAGAGAGTGTAACACTTTGGATCACTGCTACACCACAGTTAGCAGTGCCTATCAGGCCGTCACGCGCGCTTCACTGGGACACTCTGATCACATGATGGTCTGTCTGATTCCTGCTTACAAGCAAAAACTAAAGCTCTGTAAACCTGTAGTGAGGACATCAAAGAAGTGGACTAGTGAAGCTGTTGAGGACCTCCAGGCATGTTTGGACTGCACTGACTGGGATGTTTTCAAGAATGCTACCAACAATCTGGATGAGTTTACAGAGACTTTGATGTCCTACATCAGCTTCTGTGAGGACAGCTGCATTCTAACACGGACCAGGGTGAGTTATAACAATGACAAACCCTGGTTCACAGCTAAACACAGGCAGCTAAGGTTGGAAAAGGAAGAGGCATTTAGGAGTTGTGACAGGGCCGGGTGCAGGGCGTTAAAGTACAGGTTTAGCAGGGAGGTGCGAGAAGCTAAACGATTGTACTCAGAGAGACTAAAGAACCAGTTCTCTGCAAACGATGCCACTTCTGTCTGGAGGGGGTTCAGACAGATCACAAACTATAAACCCAAAGTCCTCCACTCCATAAACGATTCTCGCCTGGCAAATGAACTGAACCAGTTCTACTGCTGAGAGTCAATCGGACACCATCCCCTGTGACTCCTCCGCTCAGCTTCAGCCTCAGTCCACCACTTCTTCGCCCCCGTCCTCAGAGCTGGCCAGCTCCATCCCCTCCCCTCCTCTCTCTTTTCAGGAAGCAGAAACCCCGCAAAGCAGCTGGGCCGGACTCTGTCTCCCCATCCACCCTGAAGCACTGTGCTGATCAGCTGTCTCCGGTGTTCACAGACATTTTTAACACCTCACTGGAGCCAT